TTAATCCAATAATTTTGAAATTTGCACCTGATTAACATTCAACAGTTTTGTATACATCATAACATGAAACAATTCAAGATAAAAATCGTAAGTTGCACATCTGTAAATAAAGACAATGCGATCTCCCATAGGAACCCCCTTTACAGCTCAAACTGTGCCACTTTCAGTATGAATTTTTATAACAAAACATATATCCTAGAATGGAAAGTTGTTGATATGCACAACTATTTTATTCAAAAGTCTAACCATAGGGATCTGCGGCATATTTTCAACATTTACATGCCCAGAACTTCTAAGAGTTTGAACTTATACTTATAAAATTCTGTACTGCTCCCCCTTTCCCTTCATTTTGGGTCTTCCTCAGAATTCAAGTTGGCCGCTACCTATAAATATCTACCTATACTGGTAACATTCCCAAGTTATGTCTCTATGTCAGAGATAAAACATATAGATCATATCTGGGAACGAGTACATATACAAATGTATCCCCCAAAAGAGGCAGTCTGTGAAACAGCTGTATTTACAAAGTGCAACCTACAAAATGAAATCCCATAGTATCAATATCATTTATTCTCTAAACTACTATCGCTGTATCAGACTTTTGTCCCCCTCCCCAGAAATGTACATATACATAGGGAATTAATAAGAACTCTTGTGTTTAAAACCTGGAAATTATGGGTCACAAAATATTTCTGTTCTGGAAAATCTTAATGACTACCAGTAAAAATTATATGGAAATTATTCCTCCCTTTGGAAAATACATGGAATTTCATGTGCACTAACAGACAAAAAGTTTGGAATTTTTTGGTCCAGACAGAAAATTTGTTTGGAATTTTAGAAAAAATCAAGAAAAAAAAATCTGGAATTCCAATGTCTTCCATAGGGGGGGGGACAGACTATTTCTGGAATAGCCCATTTCAGTATTTTCGATGTGGATACTTACAAATTTCCAAAGGTCTGCTAGAGTATAATCCGAGTCCAGCTCCTCGTTCAATAGAATAAAATATTTTACTTCACAACCCTTTACACAAGTATTCCTCATTCTAAAATTAAGACGGACTGAAAGAAGTAGTCTTAGTCTGCTTCGTACAAAGGCCTACTAGATACAACTATCGTGTTGTAGGAAAGACAGATCAAACTTTGTATAACTATTCCTATAAGAACCAACTGATCTCCTTTTCTCGCTAACTTGTTGTTTTATTCGTATGTGATACAACTTTCATAAAGGAGCTTTTCAAGAAGATTGAACAAGGCTTCATACTTAAACTTCACGTTCCGCTATATGTAAATCATGTTCTATCATCGAATAATTAAAAACTTTGATGACTATTTTAATCGTATCTTTCCAAATAAACTTGTAAAAAAGGATAAAACAGTACAGTAAAGTATCTTCCACATCTTGACTCACATCTAGAAATTAACATGGAGGGTCCGTTGTGATTTAAATTTAACGCCTAAAGATTTTCCTTTTACAAACTTTCCTGTCTAATGAAGCAACATTCCAAAAGCACCTGTATATCGAGTATATGCCCCCCATTAATCCAGTGCTTGGATTTCCTGTGTATATTTCTCACAAAGTTTAATGGATGTCATCATTATTCTGTTGATCGTTAAGGAATGTCACAGATTACCACGAATATGTTCTATTTGTCACGACCACAGCTCAGCCTTCTTTTCCTTCTTTTTGACATAACCGTTATGATACTTCACCGGATTTTTTCTTATTATAAGCAACACAAACGGTGCCACCAGTGGAGTATGAAAGTATTACCCTTCCGGAGCACCTGAGTTTACCTACATTTTTTATTTGGTTCTTGCTGCTCAATCAATATTCTCTGTATAGTATTTTGTAGCCTCTTGTTTCTTCTCTCTTTGACTAATGTCTTTTATTGCCAAGTTGGTATCTTCTGGCTTTTTAAAATCAAATATTAAAAGACCATTTTCTACTAGCTACTTTAGGATTGCTTTGCTGCTCTCCAATAATCCTATGTAATTTTTGTCAGTTCACTGTTCGAAATAAAAAAGGAGAGGGTTGAATCTGAGACTACTATAACTATAAAGTAGTCTCAGGTTGAATACAGCCCAACATTAAGGTGCATGTAAGGAAACTTATTATTGTTTGTGTTTATTTATTGTGGTTTTTGTTGATGTTGAGTGCAGGTGTCCTTTTAAAATTTGGAGTTAATATCAGATCTTTGTTATCTCTGTTTATTCAAAACTTGTTTAGATTCTGGTCAATTTAAGGTTTCATTTATGGTATTGACACTTGTCTGTTTGTTGTCTCATTTGTGTATATTATAAGGTGCGGATTAAGTCAAAATTATTGTATTTAAGGACATCCTGAACTATTTTCAGGACCTCCATAATTCGAATTCAGGATATCCAGAAGTATTTCAGGACCTCCATAATTCGATTGCAAATCACCTGAAACTGATTTAAGGATATCATGAAGTCGAACTTTGGCAGTCCTAAAATATATTTCAGGATATCCTGAAATCGATTACTGAGGTCCTAAAATATTTCAGGATATCCTCCAATTGAATTATGGACGTCCTGAAATATTTCAGACTGTTCTCAATGATTTATGGATATCCTAAATTCGAATTATGAAGTTCCTTAAATATTTCTTCTTTTGTTATCCTGAGGGTGGTAAGTCAAAATAAGGTGCAGTTTTGAGAAATGAGAAATTTGTTATTCATTTAAGGAATCTGATAAAACTGATTTTCTTATCATAAAGTCTCTGCTACTGTCTGCCTCATAGAAACATTAGTACATGTCATCAAGATGTGGAGTACATCTAGTAGCCTTGTAATGATAAAGGTTTGCACATAACATTAGGACCATGCCCCTTTTGAACTATCATGTGTCCATATTCAGTGAACCTTTAAATCACTTTGATTTTTACATCATAATAAATATGTGTACTTAGTTTCAAGTTGATGTGTACACAAATTCATGGTAAACTACTTTAACTAAAATCTTTAACCTGATATGGGATGGACTAAAGGACAGATGAACGAAGGGATGCATATATCTTTTTTTTTTTATTCAACAACAGTATTGCATATATCAGAAAACACAAGACCCTCTACTACTTGAGGCAAGGTATAAAGAGATCATGATTGCTGAATAATATTTGAATTAAATTAGTTAGAAAAGTTAAATACACAGGGTTTTTCAAAATGAATCATCATTCCTTTGATATTATTCATTTTTGACGATGTAAACTGTACATTATAAAGAGAACATAACATTATTGTAGTACCGGTACATGTACTTCTTAAAAGACCCAAATAATTTCTTCCTTCTTGTTCTCATACAACCTTGTTCAGGCCCAAAACTGTTTTAACTTTTGACACTTGATAATGATGTTAAGCATGAATGTGTAATACCATAAGATAGCATTCTGCATTTGTCATGACCTTCATGTGTCCTTGACCGTGGAACTCAAGGTCAAAATAATTAATTTGATCATATCCTTGTTTATCCTTTGGCAGAGGCTTTAGATATTTAGTATATGGGTGCATCATCTCAAGAGGATCTGTTGTATACCATTGAATATGTCCTCTGAATTTGACCTTAGACCTCAACGTCAATTGATAATAATAGAAAATGTTCATGTACAATACCATAAATATTCTTGCTTGCCATGCAAACCACATATATCAATTGCAACAATAAAATCTTTTTAGTGCACCACAGGAAATGCCCTATATCATGTATGAAAATATATCTTGAAAGGGATTCAGATCATCATTCCAAAATACTTAAAAGAGGGACGAAAGATACCAGAGGGATAGTCAAACTCATAGATCGAAAACAAACTGACAATGCAATGGCCAAAAATAAAAAGACAAACAGACAAATAATAGTACAGATGACACAACATAGAAAACTAAAGACTAAGCAACACGAACCCCACCAAAAACTTGGGGTGATCTCAGGTGCTCCGGAAGGATAAGCAGATCCTGCTCCACATGTGGCACCCGTCGTGTTGCTTATGTTATTACAAATCCGGTAAATAGTCTAATTCGGTAAGTCACATTCGTGCAAAGGGAAGGTTATTGTAGTTACGACATAAGGAACATTTAAAAGTCATAATGAGGTTTTTACAATGCACCATATGTTTTGTCCCTAAGGTGTGTATTCCATCCCCTTATTTTGTAAATTGTTCAAAATATCAAAAACATTTCATATCACCATCCCTAAACCATATATGTTCTGAATTGCCATGATAAGACTTTGCAAGTAAACAAAACATACAGTGGAACCTCATTATGTCGAACTTTGTTGTGTAGAAAGCTTGGAAAAGTCTAGATAGTTTGTCAATTTTAGTAAAAATGCTGATTTTTTAATGCATTTCTAACTCAGTTGATTTAATATCTCTGTTAACTCAAGTATATTTATCAGTCTCTTCAAAGAAATGAACATTGCATATCCCTGATGTTTCAAACTTTGAAATACAAGAAAATAAGGAGGTGAAAGGCAGAAAGGAAAAACATTTCAAATAAGAAATACATGTAGCAATTTAAATATTCAAGTTGGTTTTTTTTCAAAATGAGTTTCCTTAATTAATACCAGGTCAATCATTTTTTTTTGATGACATTCCAAATGGCATGTTTATTGTTTGTTGGCTACTTTAATGATTGATCATTTGGAAAATAATATTTGTAAAACACATTTTTCACCAGATAATCATAGAATGGGTTAAATGTAGAAGTAGAAAATGGTATGTCCATAAATAGGTTGCTACTAAAACAGTTAGCACATTGACCTATGTTTTTTTTTTATTTTAGAAAGAAGACATCCATATGGATGCAAAAATGCATATATATTAATTATTTCAAAAAATCATGAGCCAGGTTCCTTAAATGATAAAAATTATGTACAAGTATTAAGACTGGAGCTCATCAGACAGCATGAAAGAGAAAGAAGAATACAGCCATCTTCATTATACTTATACTTGTAAGCATAAGACATGCACTGTTTTAAAACTCTCATTAATGAAATAAATTTATTTTATAAAGCTATTGATACAGATGGATTGTAATATAAAATACATCTTCAACTCTAACATGTCAGATTGACAATACACTGTCCAATTTTGAAAGGTGAAACATCAAGGAACTCGAAACTTCTGATCAGTCAAATAGTAATGTTAGGTCCCTTTGACATATCACAGTCTACCTGTACAAATGCATACCAGGTACATATATTACAACTATCTTCATAAAAATAACCATATTAATATCCTGTTTATCATTTTGTAACTTTTTGCTTTAAATTGTATCTAAATTTTAAAAATACTAATTCAACAATAAAGAGATATCATCATATCAACTATACATGTAAATGAATTCAGTATAAAAATTGTAAAAAATACAATACATTCTAATGTTCAAACATGCACACAAAAAAATCACAATAATACTGCTAGAAGATTTAACCCATCCATTTAACCTTTTCAGCTCTACCATACAAATACAAAATTTTAAATGTTTTGTGCATGTTTACATTTTGAAAGCCCATTATAGGAGTAATACCACCATTGATTTCCCCCTATTAGTCTTTGTTAAATTGGCACTTTTCAAAAATTGTGCAGAATTTACCTTTGTTTCAAATAAAGAAATACTTGGCATGAGGAAAGTTTTATCCTGTCCAGTACTACAGTGAAAATTTCACATAACATTTCATTGTATATAAGATAATAACCATCACCGGAAGTAAACCAATAAACTTTTCACCCCTATTTTTCCTATTAACAAGCTTTAGTAACCATGTCACATGAAGTTTCCAAAATATTTTATAGAAACAACAAATAAAAAAAGAATGGTGCTTTGAAACACCGAAGATGTATGTTTACGACTCAGAAAATTTTTTCTGCAATGAAATGCAGGGTTAATTTCCTACAACTGTCAAAATCAATTGAATATTTTTTTCTACCCTTCTTCTTATGAAACTGGAAGTGACATACTAAGATTTGGTGGTATTACACCTAAATAAGAGCTATCTTCTCATATCTTATCTTAAAATTCTATGGTGTAGTTTTCTTTTTATCACACAAAATTGTGTTTAAAATCTGACAATTTAGCACAACCTGTAGCTTGAAAAAAAGCCCTGTGACCAATACTTTTTATAATATATTGAGAAAGCCATGATAAATTTACATTTTGGCAAATGAAATTATTAAAAAATTCCATGGATTTTAATTTTGACCCCTATCTATCTTAATTGAGTAGATATACATTTGAACTCATTCATGCATAATGTAGAAAGGATATGCATCATACTGGTAATTTCTATGTCTAGTAAACACATTTTGAACTGAAACAGTCATTTTGAACTAAACAGCTCTTAAAATATTGAACAATATGTTTTTAAGGCATATTCAGTCTTTCAGTAAATTTATTTTCAGACTTATCCACTGCAGAAAATCAAATACAATTTGCTTACAGTAAGATCTTTTCAGTCTACATTCAGTAGCCGGTACTTACCTGAACAAAGAAACAACACACTGAATTTTCTTAAAAGGGACTGAATTCACAACAAGAAAATATCTGAAAAATATTGCTCAACAATACTTAACAATTTTTAGTTTCAGACTTTTCAGATGATGTTAAGATCAAAATGACAGTTTAAGACTAAAATTCATTACTTATTGCAATTGCCTTCTGGTTGTTCTGAATAGTAAGAATACCTATAATTACAATTATTATCATGAAAATGCTTCTTCTTCAGGTACATAAGTTTCAACTGAATTATAATGTTCACCTAGTCCAAATGCATGTCTATGATAGCAAACTGTTAATGATTCTGCACCAAATTCTTCTCCTATTTTGATTTGTGGGCCTTCACCTTGAATTATTTCTATAGGATGGTGTAATGCACTTGACATAGCCTTGACCTCTAACTGACCTCCCCATTCTGCTGTCTCAGCAGTTTTCTGTAGAAATGTTTCAAAGTCGTCTTCATTGTAAGAATCACCATTTTCCTTGGTAAGAAATGGTAGGAATTCATCTGGATTCTCTGTAATGAGAGCAAATGTCTTTAATCTTTATATATAAACTTTCATTAATTTCATATTTTTATTAAAAAACATCTTAAATCTATCCTTCAAGATATATCATATTAGTTCAAATAAGTATAAAGTAATGATTCTAAATATACATGTACAATTTCAGTTGATATTTTATAGTGTGTCTTTCTTTGTTGTGATGTTACACTATTGTTTCAGGAAAAAGGGTGAAGGTTTGGTACCATTAAAATGTTTAAACCCGCTGCATTTGTTTGCACCTGTCCTAAGTCAGGAATCTGATGTTCAGTAGTTGTCGTTTGTTGATGTGGTTCATAAGTGTTTCTCGTTTTTTATATAGATTAGACCGTTGGTTTTCCCGTTTGAATGGTTTTACACTAGTAATTTTTGGGGCCCTTTATAGCTTGCTGTTTTCGGTGTGAGCCAAGGCTCTGTGATGAAGACCGTACTTTGACCTATAATGGTTTACTTTTATAAATTTTGACTTGGATGGAGAGTTGTTTCATTGGCACTCATACCACATCTTCTTATATCTATGTACAAGACCAATACATAACAATTGAATTACATACTGCTAAACTGTACAGTAAAACATTTAATTTCAGCAGATTCATGATTGTATAACTTTTTTGGTTTTAATTTTTGGTCAATGAAGTGCCGAAAATTAAATCACCTATGAAATTGTATGCATTAACAGTACATGTAGGTATCAACTTTAGAGTTGTGTATTGTAAAATCATAAATTGCCCTGCATGACTACAGATAAATGGGTCCAAACATCTGTTATATGCTTTTGTGGGACCTTGGAATGTTTCCTTGAAATGTACCTAGTGTATCTGTATGCATGATAAAGATGTTTTCATTATGCATGTTATAACTATAAACAATGTAATTTGTGAATGTTGTGGAAATAAATAAATACCTCTCATATACTGTGCTGTCTTCCTTCTAAGAGTTTCATAAGTTTCATTTGGAACTTGGTGACTAATAGCAGTATATAAACAATTTCCATCAGATGGTATCTCAAATATTTGCAAATTTTTAGTTTTTAATAATGATTTGATTCTTTCAAATTCTATATGTCTTGCACCAGTTAAATTTAACAGTTCCTGTTCTTTGATTCTTTCCTCTCTCTCCTTATTTTTTGTCGCTTGTTTCTCTCGTCTTTTCATAGCCTTCGATACTTTCTTTTCTTTTGAGTCCTCTTGGGTTTCTACATCACCGTCACCAGTTTTCTTGTCAACCTCGGTATCATTTGTTTCCAGAGAACTAAGTCTGTCTGTTACCTTAAATACATGTATTCAAACAAAAATGAATATATAACTATCAATTTAAGAATATAACATACAAACTATTTCTCTAAATATTGGTAGGTACCACTGGCACTTGTCTCTGAAAAAAATAAATGGGGAATGTGTCCATGGGACACAGATGATACCCCCACTTGCATATAACGTTATAAAGTGACATAGCTGAAGAAGGGTAAAAGTGACGCTAACCAAATTTGTACTTGATCTGAGTTTTGTGGTAATAAGCATTGTATAACATGTATAAGTTTCATAACATTTGGTTGAGGCAAACTAAAGTTAGAGAACGGAAATGAAAAATTCAGCAATTTTTCCATTTGTAAAGGAGCATAACTCTAGAACGATAAAATTTACACCACCAAAATTCAAACTTGATCTGTGTTTTGTGGTAATAAGCATTGTGTATAAGTTTCATAATATTTGGTTGAAGCAAACTAAAGTTAGATAATGAAAATCAATTCCAGGACGTACGGCGGGGGCATAAAAATACCTTCATACTTTATAGGTAATTTTTCTCAGAAACAAGTGCCTGTGGTAAGTACATGAAATACAAATTCCAACAGAAATGAAATGTTTTGTATGTCAAAAAGTCAAAGTTTGCCAATTTTTTATCCTAAAGGACTATATAGAATTTCATTCTTCAAACAGCAAAATATATATGCTACTTCTCCATTCATTGATATGCTTCTTCTCCATTCATTGATTGTGTATTGCTTATAATAACCAATTACAGCTTCTGGTGTTTACTTTTGGAAATATCTGCATGAATGATTTTGAAATTAATGATTACTAAACATTGAATTTTTGGAAATACTAAGGATTTTCTACCCCAGGAATAGACTATGTTAACTGTATTTGGCAAAACCTTTCGGAAGTTTGGGTCATCAATGCTCTTCAACTTCGTACTTTATTTGGAAATTTTTTTTTAATTCGGATTCAAGCATCACTGATGAGTCTTTTGTAGACGAAATGTCTGGAGTACAAAATTTTAATCCTGGTATCTATGATGAGTCTATTTTCATACATTTATCATATTATCCTGTACTACATGTACTAGCATAAAGCTAAATAATCTTCCAGTCTAGCAAAAATAAGATTTGAATAAACTTCCAATGATAAAATTACCAACAAAATGCCACAAAGAAGAATCAATATTCATATTTTTAAAAGTTCTTAAATTTAATTTAATCTAGTATTAATTTGTCACCTCCTGTGTTGATTTGTCTTTTAATTCTTTTAGCTGTGTTGCATGTTTGTCATTTAGTTCACTCTCCAACTTTGTTATCTGTTCTGTAATTTCTTTCTTCTTCTTTTTATCTCCTTTTGACACACTATGTTTCAACTGTTGTATTTTAGCCTGCAATTCCTTCTTTTCTTTTTTGTGCCTCTTTACCACTGATTCCTCTTCATTTTCAGAGTCACTCATTTTCTATCTTTAGCCTGAAATGTACATTTTATAATTTTTATAATTTAGCAGGAACATGTCCTATTATCATGATTATGTTTGTTTCCTGAATATATTTAATCACAAAGTGATATTTTGCACAACCTCAATTTCAATGCACATCCTTTTTCTTCACAATCATAGGCTCATTTAGGGATGGAAATCAATGTTTTATATTGGCTATTATTGTAACTTTTTTTAGCTGCAGTATCAAAACAATATTAAGTTCAATTTAAAAAAACAATCAACTTTTTTTATTTAGCACAAAACTCTGTAAACTTTGCCCTTCCACTATTTTCAACCGTTTCTGAACCTCATACAAAAAAGTTCATACATGTATTTCATGACGTTTACCTTAAATTGAACATGTATAATTATTTCAAATTTATACAATGTAGCAAAAAATACATGTAGTTACCAAGATAAATCTGAAGAATCAGTCATTTTATTCGTTGAATATATACAAATTAGGAAATTGTATATCAAAAATGTTTTTGTCTATTCATCCCTCCAAAATGGTTGCTAAAGAAATTCACTCAAAGTCTCAAACTCAAATTATGTCATTCAAAACCTATCCATATACATTAAACATTTCTTGTCTCGCACATATGTGTGGAATATGTTGGAATTTTCAGAATTTGAAACATCTGAACATGTAGGTAAAAAATTGGAATTGGAATTTATTTCAATCAGTCAAGTGTATACATGTAACTTCAATATAAGTTATTCAGAGAAAATAACAGCCATGTGTTATTACAGATGCTTTCATGAGTTGTCTACTCTTTATTTCTAAAATGTTTTTAAAAAAGTAACATATGTTTGTTATTTGTTAAAAACAAATCTTTAATATTTAAAAAAAAATTTTACTTTTTATTGGGAACTTGGAAATTCTTGAATTTTGCGCAGAAACATAATACATGTACATAGACTGGATAACTCATTTTCTAATAAATTAAATCATTTTAGATCAGATGTCTGAGCAAAAGCTTTGAAGTGATGTAGAGTAGCTATAATAACACCCTTTAGTTATAACAGGTATATTTTATATGTAATAACAAAGATGTAATATGCATGATTGGCAAACTATATTTTTCTAAAGTTTAGTATGCATATATAGACAATAATAATATCATTAATAGAACTTGAATACATCTTAACAAAACAAATGATTTATACTGCCCCTTTGAAACATGTAACATACATATGTTAACCCAGTTTGGGTTTTTTTAGTCAACAATAACAAATGTATGTTATTTTTCTCTAATAACTTATTTAAGTTATACCCTTGACTGTCAATAAGGGACACAGACTCATGTCTGGAATAGCCCAGTTTGTGCATATATATTCAGAACTGAGCCTTTTATAACGGATTATAACAAATACAGTTCAGATGTGGATCCTGTATTTTGATAAAGGGGGAAACTAGGCAATGTTTAGAGTGAGACATGTTAAAAGTCTATGCCTATGGCTAGACTATGCATTAACCATTCATGTATATGTAGCTCCATAAGAGGGACCCCAGATCTGCCTCTGTAGTTAGTTGTCTCAGTTCAGAATGAGCTCAGATCAGGTTCCATGTCAACTCATACCTTTACCAACTCATACTTTTACCAACTCGTACCCTATAATCCTTGCTATACTTTGATGATACAAACTGAGTAAATTGGTGCTTTAATATGCCAGCTTTAGCTGGCACTTATGGTAGAAGCTTCGAATTGGAATAAAGAACGATAACTCTCTCTACATGAGCAATCTAAAAAGTTTCGTCACTCTCGTTAAATCTCGTACGTTTTTTTTTTTAAATTTTCGAAGTAGATCAAGTCAAGTTATCTAACTCTTAAAAATATTTGTTTTCTTTTTTTTCATTATATTTATTAAATAAACATTGTATTCTTGCTTGGCTCCAAATATAAGGCCAATTCTTCAAATATTGAAAACGAAATTATCATTGGAATATCCGTAAGGACAATTTCAGGACATTAGTTTAACCCTTATATTTTTAATGGCTACCAGATTCTCGTTTAATCGCGATCTTGAAAAAACGGGACAAAACGGAATAAATTCGATGTTAAATACGACATGAATTTTTATTTGTTAACAAAAACAAGAATTTAGAAATTTTAGTAACTTGTGCAGTTTATTTAAATTTTATTGTACCACGGAAATAACCGAAGTTTGGACAACAACATCTTACGCCATGTAACATATATTTCATCGTCTGCTTCATTTTTCCACTATCAGTGACAAATCTCCTAAATTACCACAGGTACTTCATTTAAAAGTCACAATATCATAATTAATGATAACATTTGTAGTTTAAAAGTTCCGTCCAGCTATGGGAACACAGAAAAACCCTCTGCAAGCAATAAATTTAAGGAGAAACGTAGCCGGAGGTGAAGGTAGTAAAATCTGCTACAGAATTTCCCATAATCCATATCAAGTTACAGTGATAATGAAGTTGGTTATACTGTGGTATGTGGTCACTGTTATTCCTAGCTAACAGACAAATGCAGGTGAAATTCAAAACTTAACAAAAGTTTAAAAAAAAATATATATTCAAATTCACAATCTTCTAATTTTGTATACTGTCACTGTACTTCCTTTGACAAACTCTCAACAAATCTTGTCATTAATTATGACACATATCTACCTTAAACAGTCCCAGGAGATGGAGACTGTTTTTTTTCACTCTCTAAGTTTAATCATAGTAAAAGGAGACTTGAGTCTGAGTGATACATTTTATAGGTATAATTTGTATGCTCCCATATTGTCCAAAATTGGATTTTATGGGAATTACGATGGAGTTATGATAACCCATGATAATACCATGACTTTTGATAGGTATAGAGCATGTTACTTGGAAGTATGTGGGCTTCATACATCCTTTGAAATTCAAGCTGCAGACACATTATTTGGAGGCAATATAAATATTTGCCTCCCGCTGTCACCTGTATATTTTATGCGTCAGTTTAAACCTGATCAAAACATTTTCACTTTACCTAATACTTTAATCAGGTGCACATTTCAACCTATTAAAGCAATAAACAATTATGGCTATAACGTCACAGTACCTAAATTGCACCAAGTACCCAATTTTCACCCTATGTTTATGTATGTATTCAACAAAAATAACTGCAGAAATCACAAGTTTTTTTTGAGACAAAACAATTTGTATTGTTATGATTTGACATTATACACGTCTTTCAACATATGTTAATATATTTAAATATACACAAATCATTCACAGTGAGAATATACATGTATCAACAGATGAAGCATTCCTGGGAAAAAGTAAATCTACGAAAACATCAGTGTCGTCACCATGCAAAGTTATCTAATTATCATCTTTTAAAAATGTTAGCAACTTCACAACTACAAGTTAATTTTTCATGACCAAAATAAAATAAAGTACAAACAAAACAGCAATAAAATGCTTCGCCAAGCACAGCCTGATACAACCACAGATGTAGATTTAGCATATAAAAAAACACCAAATATTTTATGTCAGTTGAAATCAAACATATTTTAATTTTGGACCCTTCAAACTTTAATATGGACTAATTTGAAAACAGGTATCGGGTGAGCCCAAACATTTCTATTCAGCAGCAGTCTCCAACTACATATCTCCTTAATTTCATATGATAGTCCCACAAAAATGTTGAAAATGTGTACATTTATTTTTTTTTCTAGATTCTCTCATGTCATGCATGTGAAAGCGGTACCTTTTTGGTCACTATTTATGTGTTGCGTCTAAATATGAATTGTAACACTTTATAGTGACTGACCAGGTCAAACAAATACTTCTCAAGAAACATGCAGAAAAAGAAGACCACTTGGAACAGCACCAGCCATGCCAGACTATGTAGGAATAAAAACTCAGGCAAATCGGAATAGCATGGAAGATATGTTAGTGATATGTCCTTGTGAATAGTAAGGAAATTAAGCTATCAATAATTCTGCAATTTTATCAGGTTTATCGTACATTTGCTGTTCAAATTTTCACACAATCAGTGAATCGTTCAAAAAGGCTAAACTAACGTTTTATTATTAGCTGATTACTGAAAGTTTCAAACAATGACAAGTGTTTCATTCATGAAATAACGTGTGCATTTCTGCGAAAAAAAACATGTGCAATTTTGTGAATTAAAGGGAAAGAAGATCCTTTTGCGGTGCACTTGTGCATGTCAATTGCGAACTAACCCAATATATTTTCTTTATCATGACCAGTTCACTGATAATGACGTCGACATTATCAAGGACAAGGAGTACACATCAAAGGAAAAATGCACAAATTACCGATAAAATAATTTACACACACTGTTTGGTGTGTATCACCTGCCATATCAGTATTTGTTGCATTTATACATAAATGAGAAATAATCAATGTAAAAATGGTAAATTTTTGGAGAAAAAACCCCAAAATTATGGAAAAAAAACCAAAAATGTTGTTTTTGACCACTGACTCCTAAACTGTTGGTACCATAAACCCCAAAATCAATTCTAACCTTCCTTTTGTGTATTGAACCTTCTGGTACAATTTCATACATTGTCATAGAGATCCATTTACTTAAAGTTATTGTCCGGAAACCAAATGTGTCTTCGGACAGCAACAGCGACATGATAGCATTACTCGAAAGCAAATTTTTGACATATTCCCCATTTCGATTCTCAATTTTATTTTGTCGTCGTATAAAAACTTGAAAAGTAAGCTAATAAAACAAATTATGCAAGAAATGACATAAAACCGACTCTGAATTAGTACATGAAATTGATGTAGAAATTAACCCACAAAAAGAAGATGATCAGGAATATATTTATACTGCTGAGCAGTGTTCTCCCCTCAAATTTTAAATAACATCCTAGAAAATAGCAAAATCTTTAGATTATCAACTTAACAATCCTATTTATGGTTCCTTATATGCTTAGATGTAAATGAAAAACCTGATCAAAACATTATTCTAAACAGGCTCACTGTAAATTCAAACTCTTCTTTTAACAACCAGAATGATCCTCTTGCTGATCACATATATATGAGATGCAGGAAACTGGGAATACAATATGAACAAACAGCTAATTTAGAAAGTAAAAATAATTCAACAAACAGAAAGCGTTGTTTGCAACACTAAATAAAAAAAACAGCTACAACTTTTAGATATTGATGAAAAATATATTCCAAATCCTCCACCTTTTCATGAAAATCAACAAAAAATTAATTTAATGAAGTTATGGATTGTATAACAGTATTCATAGTTTTGAAATTAAACAAATGTCTTATTGTTTTAAATTTTGTAAAATTTGCAAAGAAAGAAAAATGGATATGAAAATGCACAAGTTAATGATTGTAAGCATTGTCATTTATATAAATCACCAATAAATTCATTTTCAGCAGAAAACAATAAGGGAGCAACAATTTAGCTCCAAAGGGGGGAGTATGGTTTTTGTTTGAGACAGATTTTTTACACGTGAAGCACTTCAATGCTATTAATCAAAATTATTTAGTCAAAATATAACACTATAAGGTATGGGGAAAATCTGGATTCAGAATATTTTTTTTGTCCTCTGCTTGAACAGAGTATTTTTTGTCATCAGTTTTTAAAGAAAAATACTAGTCCAAATAATTATGACATCCAGGAAGGCTATTTTAAATTTTTGCTTTGACGCCTTCCTGCGACGCACCAAAGCAAAAAAAAAAATACCATACCCCCTTCTGCCTTTTGAAGTTCAATGATCTTTCCCTAAACATTTTCCATCTAAACTTATTATTATATTTTAGACAAAAACTATATATAGGACATTCGTCCTGAACATGCATGAAATATTTGCCACTGGGCGTTAAGCAAACCAACAATCAATCAATATGTAGGATATAGTTTTGGTAAGCTGGCATTCAAGGTAGCGCCTTCCTCATATTAAAAACATAGCCAAGTTCATTAAAACATTAATTTCAAAATAAGTGCAGCACTTTAAATATAAAAGTCTGTTAAATGAGGTATACTTTCCCAATCTTTTTCCGTAAAAGTACGAGTTGGCAAAGGTACGAGTTGTCGTGTACCCCCAGATCAGAATTGATGTATCCCCCTTTTTACTTTTAAGTTTTAATAAGGATTTTGGGCGCTCGTATGTCTTAAACTTACACTTAAAATAAAAAATAAAATATTTGTTAATTATCAGATGATCCAGGCTTTGTGAACTGACAGAAAAAACCGATGCGAAATTGTAGGTGCTTGTTGCAATTTTACCGGAAGTGAGTTCTTCTTGGATGGAGGGGAGAATGATTCCAGGATTTTTATTTTTTTTGGATAATATTAGTGAATTTGTTACTGGATTTTGCGACGTGACAGCTAAGTCTTTCCTCTTGAAATAATGGTCAGCTTATCTAACGAATCGAGGCACACTGGGGTATGACTATCACTGTACACTCATTCGTCAATAATGACCTTTTTTGATATTTCGACCATGTTCATCATATAAGGAATATATTGACAAATAAAAATATAAGGAATATATTGACAAATAGTACGTGTGTACCTGTATGTCTGTACCCAGAGTAAATTTTGTGATGTAAACACGACCGAATTATGGTTCATGTAATTCAAAGGTTTCATGTTGTTCTAGTCCAAGTCGTTCTGTCAGTTGATAATGATATGGTCCAAGTGAGGCCATCTCATATTTTCGTCCCCTTTTAGAAATAGTTTTATATATATATATGTGGTTAACAATTTAATATGAGGCAGGTGTTACCTGTGAAGGGGACAAAGTCTAGAAATAATTTGTTTAATATGTAACGTTTTACAGAAAAATGGCCAGCTGAGGACCACCTCCAAGTGCGGGATTTTCTCACTGCGTTGAAGACCCATTGGTAGCCTTCGGCTGTTGTCTGCTCTTTTCTGCTCTTTGGTCGGGTTGTTGTCTCTTTGACATATTCCCCATTTCCATTCTCAATTTTACTATTAAATATAAGATTAATATAAAAATAAGGAGATGTGGTATGATTGCCAATGAGACATGCAACTATCCACCAAAGTTCAAATGAAGTGGATGTAAGCAATTATAGGCAACCAAACGTCCTTCAACAATGAGAAAAACCAATACTGTAAAGTCAGCTATAAAGGCCCTGGCATGAAAAATATGAAACAATTCAATTGAGAAAACTAGTGGCCTAATTTATATCAAAACAAATTAGGAAAAACAGATAGGACCAACATGAACCAATGACAACCACTGAACTACAGGCTCCTGACTTGGGATAGGCACAAAGAATGTGGCGGTCTTTACTCATCAGATCGATACAAAGCAGAAAACACAGACTGGAGGTGTCAGGGTATTTATACATCCCTAAAAACAAAAAGGATACACAGATCTGTGAGTACCCTCAGTAACTGAGAGTTAGTTCAAAGCCAATAACAACTTGTGAAAAAAATCATTTACATGTACCTTAGACTAAAATATCAATCATTACACATCCAACATCCAATGAATTTAGTGTAAAAATAACCTTAACAGTCAGAGAAAAGCATGACTTTGTGCAATGCCAAAATATAGGTATTGACAGATTGTAGCACCGTGAAATTGCATTCATGAATTTGTATAACAATAATATTTAGTATGGTTTAAATCTACTGATGACAAAATCAATATTTATACCAATGAGGATCTAATTACAGTGTTGAATTGGTAACCTTTTAGAATAAGTTTATTTAAAGGATTGATAAGTTTACCCAGATCATATCTAAATTTCCAGGCTCGGTAAACAACATCACTGTAAAAATTAGGATGTGCTGTTCTGTTGGAAATAAGTTTTTTTACAGTCATTAAAATTTGTTTTTTTTTCATTTTACAAATTATGACATTAAAAAAGATATATATGGATAGATGCATTTTTGTGAACTCAGGGGCGTAGCTGGCCTAAAATAAAGTGCAAGCATAAATCTTGTATCGCCGATTGGAGCGAGGCGAAAAATATTTAGGGACCTTTTTATGCAGAAAATGATAATTTTTCGGTCATTTTCCAGGTATGCCATGCTTATGAAATTCATATTACTCCTTATTAACATGGTTGTTTTCAAATATAAAATAAATTTTATAAAACGGGAAGATCAGTCGACAAGTCAACCGAAGAGTTTATCAATAGAAGGGCAATCAATGGACACATGACCAACCCGGGAACAGATAAGACACAAAAGAACAAACAAAAATATTCAATATTGAAAACTAAATACAGATAAAAAAACACGAACCCCGAAAAAAAATGTGGCGACCTCCAGTGCTCCGGAAGGGTAAGCAGGTCCTGCTTCTTGCAAGACACCCGACCGTAGCGTTTCTCACTAAGGTCATTTTCGAATCAAAGGAGCCTGAGGTTTCTACGACAACGGTAGAAGGTCACTTGGGACACAGATACCCAAGGTGAATTAATAGTCTTTTGGACGAACGGACAATGGGAATACGAAATCAAACGGCGACTTTTAAGTCTTGACTTATAAGTGAGGGATATAAATCTTAGATGTTTTCAAGGTTATTGTATTGAGCCTGTATTATTAAATGTTAATACTCATGTAAGACTTAAAGTAAAGTTAATATCCAAAGTCCATATATCTATTTTTTGCCAAGGCAAAAGATCGCAGAACTCTCTCGGTGTCGATATTCATTTCTCTGTGAACATGTATGAGCGCCAACGAAGATAGTCTGTCCTATACCATGGTTGAACGGGGATAAGTTTTAAGTCGCCGTAATGCACTAAATGACCGTTCAGTAGTTGATGTAGTTACTGGCATTGTAACTAAGATTGACACGATTGCAAACTATTGAAGGATATAGTTTCTTTTTAGTCAATGCTAGAGACGACATCAGAGATTTGGGCTACTCTATAACATCTGGACCCGACCAGCGTCTCTGCCATCTCTTTACCTCAGAGTTGAAGGTTTCTTGATTGTCCGTCAAGTCGTGTCTAAATGTTTCGTATATTTTTTCTATACACTCTGCTGTCAAAGATTCCAAACGTGCAGGTATTTAATTGAAATTAAGGTTCCGGCCTTGAAAACGATCAGAATTATCCAGTAAACGTCCTGTGAGTTCTTCAATGAAATAGTCAAGAAAGGAGAAATACAAGGCTCGCTTCCAATATTGAATTGGAGTGTCAGCTGGATAGTTAGCCCGGTTGACCTGTCTTCCTACTCATTCGTAATTTAATTTCAGAATTATTTTTTTTTGTGAAAAAAATGTGCAAGCAAATGATTTTTTGCGTAAAGGCAGCTACGCGCCTGGAACTGACACATACATGTATAACACCAGTTGCTGGATAAGGTAATTTAAACTGTAAAGAATAAAAAAACAATGTTTTTTTTATACAACATACTGGCAAACAAAAGTTGACAATGATATTTCTATAATAAAAACACATGTACACATGTACATGATGTAAGAGTGCATGAATAATATGCTACTGGCTTACCAGGCAAACAAAAAACCTTTTCCACAAATTATTTAAAAAAACAATCATACTAAACAATCAAAAATAATTTTATTGTGCACATGTAACAAATAAGATATGTTGGGAGAGTAATTATATACCGGTATGTAGTAGACTTCTTTGTTTAGTTCTTGAGATAAAAGATTAAACTCTTTATTAAAAAATACTCAGCAAACCAAAAATAAAATGTCAGAGGCATGTTTTGACCTCACAAATCTTGAAAATATCCGTGGTTGTAATAAAAAATAATACCTGTAATTATATTTATATTTCTACAAATGTACATGAAGGTGTTAGGAGCAAAAAGGAAAATTATTGAAACCTTGAAAAGAAAAGAAAAATCTTAAATGTTCTTATACTTACATCAACAATTATAAAACATAACTTATACAAAAGTCATGTATGTATAAATTTTACCCCTGACCTGATATATATGCATGTAACTACTAAATGATTTAATGATTTCTCTCAGATAACATGGATAATTTAATATACCAAAATAATGTAACAACCACTCAACATCTGACATGTTTGATACTCATCTCTTTGACAATAACAGTGACATCTGGTGGTAAAGAATAACACTGTCAACATGGTCAAATACTTGTTTTCATTGTTTATTGCAGGGCTATTTTTTCAATGAAGATGGATCAGGACAGAACAAAGATACAGAAGACTTACTAAGTAATCATTGTTTATTGCAGGGCTATTTTTTCAATGAAGATGGATCAGGACAGAACAAAGATACAGAAGACTTACTAAGTAATCATTGTTTATTCTAGGGATATTTTTTCAATGAAGATGGATCAGGACAGAACAAAGATACAGAAGACTTACTGTCAGAAAGTCCAGCTTTAAGTGCTGAATTGGACCCCCCTTTTAGAAAAATTCACATAGTTTGGGCTATTGTAGTGGAAATACTACTCTTTGTAAGTTTTCATCTTTTTAATTGTATAGAATGAGAATAGGATATTTTTAATAGCACATTTAAAAATCTTATAGTTAAATATATTGAATATGCTTATTCTAACTTGAATCACTTCAACCTACATTTTACATATGGATCAATCTGGTTAGATCAAATGTATTGTATGAAATAGTGGTATACAATAATTTTGATAAATGTTGTTTTGTCAATGGACCTATATGAAAAAAATAATAAAGAACCATTCAAAATTCACTAATATGTACTTTGACAAAATTTTCTGCATGAATATTTCAGTTTTTAAGTGCAGACTGTATTTTTTACGCTTTAAAGTTGAATTTCTCTTTTTTTCATATGTAGATTTTAAAATCTTGGATCCTTTATTTTTATTGAAATTTTGAATTCTGGTACAGCCATTTTTCCCTCTTTTTTTTTTGGCATTTAGTGAAATGTCTGAAAGTAATGTTGGTCAGGTTTGTCCCATTTCAATATTGTAAACTTTTTATCTATTTTTTTAGACTGGTCTAGTCATAGCTACCTTTGTACTGCCACATATTTCAGTCTTACAACCTGATAGAAATGCTACAAAACATGATGGTAAACATTTGGGAGCACATGTTGATGAAATATCAGTAGCCTGTTATGTCCATGGAGGACTTTGGTTTGTCCTGCTTGGGTTTGATCGATATTTGAGATATCACCATTACAGACACAGAATGTGTGGATATCTTGAATTTTATCGAAGGACAAGACATTTACGTAAAATACCTCTGATGGCAAATTCAGCAGGTGAGTTGTCAAAGGAGAATTAAGGATGTGGTTGTGGATATTTGAAAAATATTTTATGTATGGATTCATTAAGTGAAATTTTAATTGTGTATTTGTTATCTTTTTATATTCAATAACTGCATCTATGCATAATATCTCATAAATTTCCTGTATTCATAAATAATAATTTATTTGTCATTAACATTGTTTCTATGGGACAAACATTATTAACCCAGATTCTGTTCTATCTTGATGGAGTAACTTTGGATCTGTTTTTGTCTGAAACACAGTCAGTTATTCTATAGTTAGATCTATTATATAACTATTGATTTATATTAACAGGTAATGCTGCATTGCTAATAGTGCTGAAGCTATTACAAAATTTGAATGGAACCCACACAGACTTATATATAGAAATAGTGATTGCCTTGGAGGCAGTGGTAGCTGTGTCAGTGCTGTTGATATATCTTGGTAAATGTTATCAGCAGGATATAGGACATGTTAGATCAAATCTGATTAAAATACAGATCCTATGTCCCATCTTTGCTTACAAGGATCCGACAACTCCTCCGTTTTACTTTCTGTTCTGGTAATTAGCCAATGAAATTTCAGCCTTCGAATTTTTGAAGGTGTGTTTAAATTCGACAAAACCAGAGGATCCCAAAAGATCTTTAAATCAGAAAGTAGAACAGCATTTTCAGATCCTTGTAAGCAAAGCTTGGACACAGGATCTGTAATTTGATCAGAATGTATTAGATCTTGTAAATAAAAGGGCTTCTTTCTGGTTTTAAACCTTGTATGTAAAGACAATGTTTATTTATTGTTATTTGATAAAGTTTTTTATTATCATTTCAAAATGCCTACTTACTCATTTGAATAAATATCAGAGTACTAAGAATACAAATTTGTTATTTAGCATGATTTTGTACCATGATATTTAGCCAAAATTTACCTTTATCCATTTTACTACTTGAAAGGCATCCTAGAATAAATTGTTTTTTCTTATATTTGATCAGACATTTACAAATTGTGTTTAAGGACAGTCGATAGAGTTTCAGGGGAGATAATTTTTTTTTACTTGGTTTATTTTTGATGTCATAATAAGGAAATCTTATCACAAAACTTCAAACCTGAATTTTATAATTTCGCAGAATCAACCATCGAAATAGTTGCAAAAGAAATCTTTTGTTGTTTTTAATGGAAACAGAAAATAAAATAATTGTTTTTGCCAGAAGTTTTAGTTTTTATACGACCGCAAAAAAATTTTGTTTTCACTGTGTATTAAGAATTGATTAGTGTAAACACTTTTTCAGAAATTATTTGTGAAGTTTTGTCTGAAATAAGCATTGTAACACATACTTTTAATTGACCTATTTCAATATTCACAATATGAGTAGACTCATATGGAAATATTTGAAAAAATGACAATTGGAGATAATCAATCCTCATTGAATAGAAAACTTTGAAGATGATGAAGACTACGAAGAAATCTTTGCATTAGTATTGTTCCCATTCCTAAAGTAATGCAGGTTTATGTGTCAGAATACAAAATATATTTTACATAAGTAGTAGAGAGCTATAATATAGTTGTCAAATGAGTGCTTCCATGAATATTTCATTCATTTTTTCAGTAAAAACAGTAAAGTTTAATAGTTTACTGATGTCACCAGATGTCGCTCAAGATGAAATGATCTCTAGTTTCATGCAGAACAGTGGTACTTCAGAGATTGGCTTTAGGTATAGTAGTTATGACTTAGTTTTACAATTTGATTTAAGGTACATGGATTCAAAATCATCAAAAGTAGATGAACTAGCAACTAATGTTTAAAGTTGTTGTTAAGATGATAAAATGCTAATTGAATTAACTTGTGACCTTAAAACCCAGCATTGTATATACTTATGATTATAAATCACATTTAATGATTTGTGTGATTTATCTATGTAAAGATAGAGTAAATTTGTCTTCAAAATGCTTAGGATATATAAATTCATATTGGCTGTATGCAATACAAATAAGTAAAAACTTCAGAGGGTATACAGTTTTAAGATATCAGAAGGTTCATAGAGGGTATACAGTACTAAAATATCTGTAGGTTCATAGAGGGAACTATACAGTTCTAAGATATCTGTAGATTCATAGAGGGTAAACAGTAATAAGACATCTGTAGGTTCATAGAGGGTATACAGTACTAAGACATCTGTAGGTTCATAGAGGGTATACAGTACTAAGACATCTGTAGGTTCATAGAGGGTATACAGTTCTAAGATATCTGTAGATTCATAGAGGGTTCACAGTTTTAAGACATCTGTAGGTTCATAGAGGGTTCATAGTTTTAAGACATCTGTAGGTTCATAGAAGATTTACAGTTCTAAGATATCTGTAGGTTCATTGAGGGTGTACAGTTTTAAGATATCTGTAGGTTCATAGAGGGCATACAGTACTAAGACATCTGCAGGTTCATAGAGGGGTAACAGTTTTAAGACATCTGTAGGTTCATAGAATGTATAAAGTTCTAAGATATATGTAGGCTCATTAAGGGTACACGGTTCTAAGATATCTGTAGGTTCATAGAGGGTATATATATACAGTTCTGAGATCATTGATGGTGTACTGTTCTAAGATAGCTTTAGGTTCATTTTAGAGTTACATGTTGTTCCATATGGCTAGTTGCTGCCAGACGCCCTTGATTGACTGGTCCTACTCAAATTACTGACTGAAGGCACTATTTCAAAAGCTGGATTATTTCATACTATTTGACTAATATATTTCAAGTCTATATAGTATCAAATTGAAGATTGATTGACTGTTACTTACTAATGTCCTCAGATGGAAGAGATCTGTCACATGACTAATGTCCTCAGATGGAAGAGATCTGTCACATGACTAATGTCATCAGATGGAAGAGATCTGTCACATGACTTATGTCCTCAGATGGAAGAGATCTGTCACATGTTTTGTTGAATATTTATTAATAACATTCACCGCATATAGTTATGTTAAGTTGCAATGACTTGTATTTTATGCATTAAAGCAATTTTGCCAAAGTTTTATATTTATGTCCCTTTTTCAAAATATGTTAATTTTATATGTTGTTGATTTTAAAGTAGGGCATACATCTTTAACATGTACCAGTCTCCTGCTATACATGTACTTAACTTTACTTATTGCTTTCTACTAATGTCATCAGGTTTTTATTTGCATTTTATTTTTGAAATTTTCATCTTCTTTTAAGGATCCACTTGTGGAAATTTCAACCTATCATGCATGAATAATGTTTGCAATATGTATTTAAGTTCAGTTGTGTTTCTTTGTTATGAAAAGCCTAGTTGCCTGAGCCAAAAAATGAAATATTAATCCTTTTATGTCAAGTTTCAATTTTTACCATAAAATTACATGGCCAAATCAATTTTGAGACTCTTTGTGAAGAATTCTTATTTTATGATGACTGAACAGTTTGCTAAAATTTAATTAGATCTTAGCTAATCTTGATTAACATTACAATCTTTGAAAACACTTTCTATCTGACAATTGACAGGAGAAATGAACATAATGACTTTTTTCACAGCTCTTCACTTTAAAAAAAAATAAACATGTATATATATTATAGCTACAAAATGTACTCTTTAATTCTAACGAGTCAACTTTAAATTAGTAAAGGAATTGTAAATTTGAAATAAACCATAAGTTGATCATCAAGGCTCAAATGAGGCTTTAATTTTGTTCATATATTGACTTGTTATAATTTTTGCATTATGTATGGTTTGCAGTTTTGGATGTAATGATATTGGATTTAAGTGAGTTGTTTATTTAGTTTGTTTTAGCTTTTGCATGGATTATAGATATGTTAATATAGTTTGGCACAAATGTAGGAGCAAGACATAGGTGTTACATTTTTCATTTGATCAAGGGTATCTTTAATACTTCTCTCAATTCCATTCCATTCAATACAATGCAAATTTTAGGTGAATTTATTTTTACAAAATTTCTACTAACATGAAATTGTGGTCCCTGTTTTGGCAATTCAAACTGAAATTATGTCAAAACATATTTGATGGGATTAGTTGGTGTCTTTCTAAATTCCATCAAATTCAGTTTTAATGCTTCCTTTAAAAAAAAATTTGGGAGCATATATAGTCTTCCCTTTTTCTGTCCATCTGTCTTTGGTCCTAAACAAATGACATCCAGTGTGTAATTTAAGTTTCCTTTGCTCAATTGAAATGAAATGTATACAGATAGATTTGGGAAGTGGAAAAAATCTTATGATTTAGAGTCAATAGGTCAAAGTTCAAGGTCCCTCTAACTAAAAATATAACTTTTTGGAAAAAAAATTGTTTCCAGCTGGTAAATTGATTTTCATTTGCAGGTTTTTATGTAGATGAAAGATATAAAGAGGGTGAATAATTTATCAATTTTTATGTCAAAGGTCACAGTCACAGGTTCTGGATATTGGGCTCTGGACAACATAGTTCCAATTTTGGCTTCTAAATATCTGAGGTCAAATACTCCTAGGAGTATATAGTCTGCATAATGTCACTTTGATTTTGGATCAAGTATCTCATTTTCCTTTCCTGCACATAACTTTTATCCTTTGACATTTGCTTTTCATATTTGTCACATGGGTGTAGCACCTCAAGACGATGTGTTATTTACAAGAGGAAATGACCTCTGACCTTGACCTTGGACATTCAATCTCAGATAATTGATTTTTATATATCCACCCCAAAACAAACTATATTCTTGCTTGTCATGGCAAGACCTTTTCAATGAAGGGTTTGCCCTTGGAGTGTCATTCCACACTCCCTAAAATAATAAATTGTTGAATATCTCAAAATTTATTCAGATCCCCACCCCTAAACCATATCTATTCTTTAATGCCTTGATAAGATCTTTCTAGTTCACTATATTTTTTGTACCTGTGTGACGTGCTGCTCCTCCTTCATATCATTAATTGTTTGATATTCTTGTTTACCGGTATATCCCCACCTCAAAACCAGAAAAATCTTGAATTATTATGACAAGATATTTACGGTACACCATAGATTTTTTTACTGGGGGTCATGCCTTGTCCCCTTAAATGGTTTATTGGTAAATATATCAATAACTGTGAAAATATCTACCCCTTTATCATATATATTCTGAACTGTGAAAATATCTACCCCTTTATCATATATATTCTTAACTGTGAAAATCTCTACCCCTTTATCATATATATTCTGAACTGTGAAAATCCCTACCCCTTTATCATATATATTCTGAACTGTGAAAATCTCTACCCCTTTATCATATATATTCTGAACTGTGAAAATCTCTACCCCTTTATCATATATATTCTGAACTGTGAAAATCTCCACCCCTTTATCATATATATTCTGAACTGTGAAAATCTCTACCCCTTTGTCATATATATTCTGAACTGTGAAAATCTCTACCCCTTTATCATATATATTCTGAACTGTGAAAATCTCTACCCCTTTATCATATATATTCTGGCCTGTGAAAATCCCTACCCGTTTATCATATATATTCTGAACTGTGAAAATCTCTTCCCCTTTATCATATATATTCTGAACTGTGAAAATCTCCACCCCTTTATCATATATATTCTGAACTGTGAAAATCTCTACCCCTTTATCATATATATTCTGAACTGTGAAAATCTCTACCCCTTTATCATATATATTCTGAACTGTGAAAATCTCTTCCCCTTTATCATATGTATTCTGAACTGTGAAGACAAGACTTTTCAACTGCACCATAGATTTTGTCCGTGGTAGGAAGATTTCGGGCATCATGCCCAACCCCCTCATACCATTAGTTTGAAAAATAGTTGGAAAACAGTTAAGATTCCTACCCATTAACCATATTTCCTTATTTGCAATGACAGGAATATATCTTTTCCCAAAGCAGGATAGACATATTAATGTGTTACTTTTTATTTAATTTTGTGGGTTTAATGTGTTTTATTTGTAATCATCACATATAACCCTAGTTTTCCCTCACTCATACATATTGTGAAGGTCAGGTGAACAACTATCCTGGAACTTTATACCTTGTAATTTCTGTGAAGTATTGATTTCATAGATTATGGTTAGAATTGTTGTTTACAAAGTATTAATGTACAATATCTTATTTAGTCCTTTTTAACAATCTTATTCATGTTTGAATATTTTCCTGAAAAGTAGCAGAAATATAGCTTCCACTAAAATTTCTTTGTTTTTGACACCCTTTTCTGGATTGAACTGCAATGTGATGTATAGTAACAGAATGCATAAATATATATATACTTTTTGTATCAGTGTCAGAAAATATAATTGTGAATATCAAGATTCCAGTCAGTGGACAGTTATTTCACTTTCATCATGTTCATATTAACATGAAATTAGTGCTGAAATTCAAAATTAGAAAATGACTTTCAGAGTCAAAAACTAGGCTTCATTATGACTCGAGATTACTTTCACTAAATCACATAAAATATTGTGTCACAACTAATAAAAGTAAGATCCCTCTCCATTTTGACAATTGTCATGTCAGTCATTTTAGAGCTTTATAACTTCAATCATAAAATGAAGGCAATTTTTGTAATATGTCTCATGGTTATTACTTATTTTGGAAATGCAGGTCCAAAACTAATTTTTCAGCTTCATTTTAAGTCTAGGAATCTTAAGAATCAATGCCCTACTTTGCCTCCTTCCTAATCTGAATGTTTAAATTAATTCTTTAATGTGCAAAGAAGTAACAGTTGTTGGTACATATTGTTAATTATGTAAATCTATAGCATGTATTTGTAGGTGGCAGTAAACTAATATCAATTGTAAATAACATTAGTTCAGCTTTCAAGATTATTATAATATGGTTTTTCTTTAAAAAAAAAATTTTTAAATTCATTTTGCTAAATTCTGATTCTAATTTAAAGAGTAAATACAAATATTCATATTATATTAGGAAAACTTAAATGAATATAATTCTATATATTTTCCATTACTGCTGTTAAAGAAAATTCTTCTCACCAACCTCAATACTCGAGAATCATTAACCTTTAAGAATATTAATTAAAGTTTTTGAATGAGGAGAAAATGCTTCATCAGCCCTTTCAAATAATTAGTGCTATTTACTTATCAGCGGCAGTACCTATAGATCGGTATGCTTCATTTGTTATTATTATTTATTTATTATTGACAGCTATTTATTTTATCAACACTTTAATGAACACATTTAATGGGTTCACTTTACAGTCTTCATTATGACCCTCTGCTGTGCCATTAATTTATATTAGCATGAAATTTGTTGTGCATGAGTGATATTTAATTTGGACTGACTTGAATAAGCTTTACATTATTATTACATTTAATTAGATATTTTAATATCATTTTAGACTGACCTGAATGATCATATATCTTTTTTATTTTTATTTTCAGAGATGAAAATTATTCAGATCAAGTATTGGAGAAGCAAGCAGATATGATACGATATCTCAAACAACACAATTCACAGCTTGGGAGACGTATTCTAGCTTTGACAGCAGAAAACAATGCATTGAAATCACAAATCAGTCAGAGCTAATGTTCAAATGTTTATTGCCATTTATATGTCCCATGATAAGCTTTATATACACAAATACATGTCACTGCAAATTCTTCAAATATCTTCTATTTACCAGTACTGCAAAAGAGATGAGGTAAATATGGTGCCATAAGAACGGCGTTTAAAGTTTGAAATGAATTTACACTTATCGTGAGCTTGAATTAAACTGATGATCATTATAGCTCATTCCTGTTAACATGAATGTATTGCTGACGACTAAGATTCCTAGACAAGTATATGTTTGCATGTCTGTTACTTAGGAATGAAAACAATGTGAATATAATTACATAATTGATGTAAAAGTATACTGTACATTTCATGCAAGTAAGTGCAAGAAGAGATGAAAAGATTTGCAAGATTGATTTGATAATTAGGAAAAATAACAGGTCAAAATAATCTCTAGTCAATTTGTAGCTTTTTGTTTCAACACAAATTAAGAAAGACCAATTAATATTGATTTAAATGAAAGGATGGATGTTTTTTTAATTGAAAAAAAACCACCTAGAATATTTATGATTCAAGTAGCAAGAAATGTAAAAAAAAAACAACAAAAAAAACACTCCAGAATCCAGAATTTCATGCTGTTGTACAAATGAATATTGCATATATAACATGAAACAGCAACTATTGATAATTTATTATTACATGTACTACCGCTACTTTCATAGTATTATAACTGGATAGTGTTCATTTTGTTTTATGTTTAGATATGTCAATGTAACAAATGTTATTTTCGTTCTATCTAGAATGATTATTTAATAATCGTATTGTAGTGAAAGTAAAGAGTAGATTAATTACAAAAAAAATTATTGTGTATGTGTCCATGATTATTGAATTGTAAAAATTCTGTAATCCTAGTATGCCCTGTAGATATAACAATAAGGAGATGTGGTGTGACTGCCAATGAGACAACTATCCACCAAATGCAAAATGACATATAAGTTTGAAACTGTAGGTCTCTGAATGGCCTCCAACAATGAGTAAAACCCATACTGCATAACAAGCTTTAAAAGGCCCTGAAATGACAAATGTAAATCAGCTAAAAACTAACGGCCTAAATTTATTTACAAAACAATAAACGAAAAACAAATATGATATATAACAATAAAAGACAACCACTGAATTACAGATTCATTCATAGTTTGATTTGATGTCTGACTTTTCTCTAAGATTTTTTTTCTGAAATCTTCAGAGAGCCCATTTGGCCAATTGGAAACAGACCTTTCCCTAATCATCAATTGAGTGTCTAGTTTCAATATCATGAATATTTTTGGAACATCCAATTTCGCCTTTTTTTACGAATAGAATGCAGGAAAGAAAAACAGTATATGGTTTTGGATTATAACTATTCTATTAAATATTAGCTAGTTTAAATGCATTTTGCCTTTTTGCTGATTAATGAGCTACACATTACCAGTACCTAAGAGTTTCATTTAGGTATATCCTAGTTCCACACAATAAAAGCCACATTTCCAAAATGAATAACTTCTTAAAATCAAAATTTTCTACTCTGATGCTTGTTCTTCTTTCAGAACTTGAGCTGATTTAAGTATGAGGTGCTGTGGAACTTATAAAAGTTTCCTTGCAGTGGTTATATATTTTGCCTTATAATGCCAGTGAACTTATAATTGTGTAATAAGTAATTTCAGATCTTTGTTAAATCTCAGTATAAAGTTAAAAAACAAAAATACCAAACTCCAACCTGATTTGTGTTGTTATGAGGTCAGGGGACACAATTATAATTACAGACCCCCTTAACATAAAATTATCCATATTTTGAGTTAGAGCTGATAGACTTTTCTATAATTTTGATATAATTTGTCCCAAAAATAGTACACTACACTGTAAAAGTCTTTTTTGGATAGAGCAGGTGCGATTTTTTTAATTTGCGTTTTTTGTCTAAAAGAAATGCACTACGAAATAACTGTGTTCTCGGGCCATTAGAGATTAAAGTTGAGCTAACAGGAACCTTTGGACTATGTTTTATCTGAACAGTGTTTCAAAAGGGAATTCATTAAATTGTGTGGAAGAGGTAGTATAAATTTCTCCCAATTTTTTTTCTCTCATGTGGTTTTGAAAAATCTAAAAGTTGTGAATCCTACTGGAATTTGAATATTATAAGAGTCTACTAATCTTATAGTAAAAACATTTTAGCAATTTTACATATATTCATAAAACCAAAATATCATTCAGCCCTACATGGTCAAGCATTATGACACAAACTCTTCATTTTACATGTTTTTAATTTGCATAGAAGGATGTCTCTTACCATTGTAAGTTTATTTGTATATGAAAAACTATAAATAGCTTTACTTACAACAGATTTTTGATTTTGGTTAATGATGTTCTTGTACATTTTTGGGATGATTACTCAAAATTTTCCAAAATAGGTAAAAATTCAGTTTTAGGCTTTCTCCAGGCCTTTATAGTTTGGTGATCTGTTATGAAATGAGCTATAATATTGTTAGAACATCTAAGTACCACATGGAGCTGTGATGGTCTGAATTTTGAATAAAGATTGAAAGACTTTTTGACAATGACCCTTGTGTGAAATAAATTGAGGAGAAATTAGCCCTATCTCTTTATGTTTCCTATTTGTTTTTCTGTAGTATTATTGCTGTACTTAATAGCCTTCTTATTAAAAAAAATACCATACCATGTGCCATTTTTTGTGGCTTTTACATACTTCAAAAGCTATTTCTACTGCCAAATCACAATACCTTTTTTGAAATCTTTGAGAAATACTAAATACTATATATATGCCACATGAGCGATATACATCATATAGGGTCTTTGGAACCTCTACTTAATTGTCTTAATACTTGTCTACTATAAACAACATATGCAGTCACAAATGTAGGTTTAATTTAAACATATTTCATTGTTTTAAAAAAAATCTAAATGAAGATCTATTTAAAAGAAGTTTTAGAAGTATAGTAGTTTGCTTTATGCTAATGTATTTCTTTTATAAAAGTATGTATATGAATTAATGTATATTATTTAATTGTTATTTATTATATTTTGCCATGTATAATATGCATTGTTTTTTTTTTTATGTTTTATATATGATATGAATAAAACACACATATGTTTTTTCCAATTTTTTTTCTCCTAGTTATTATTGTCAGATTATTTACCTAACTTTTTGAAAATATTCTTTTTGTCCCCTGTGTGACGTGTTGCTGGGGACATAGACATACCGGGCGTCCGTCTGTCCATCTGGTATTGTTAGTGTTCTCACTTGTAAAATGCTTGCCAGATTTTTATAAAACTTATATCATAGGTTTATATCTGCAATGTGTCTGACAAGTTATAAAATCAGTGCCCATCAAATATTTTTTAAAGAGTCTGCCCCTTGGAAATATTAATTATATGGAAAAGTGCTTTGTTAGCTCTCTCATGTGTACAATTCATGCCAGATTTTTATGAAACTTATATCATAGGTTTATATCAGCAATGTCTCAAACAATTTCGAAAATCAGTGCTGATCATGTATTTTTAAAAGAGTAATGCCCCTTGGAAATATTGAATATATGGAAATTGCATTGTTAGCGCTCTCATGTGTACAATTCTTTGGCATATTTTTATAAAACTTATATCATAGGTTTATATAAGCAATGTCTCTGACAAGTTTGAAAATATGTGCCGATCAAGTTTTTTTTTAAAAAGAGTTATACCCCTTGGAAATATTAATTATATGGAAAATTGCATTGTTAGCACACTCATGTGTACAATTCTTGCCAGATTTTTATAAAACTTATAACATAAGTTTATATCAGCAATGTCTTGGACAAATTCCAAAATCAGTGCCAATCATATAGTTTTAAAAGAGTTATGCCATTGGAAATTAAAGAAGTAAAAAAAAGTTTTTTTTAGTTATTGCCCTTGGACAGATAAGATATGTGCAACGGGGGGAACATCGGAACTCTATTCTTTTATATAATTTTGTTTTATTCTGATTTTGTATAACCCCTCTCTTTTTTCGTTAGCAGTTCAACAGTGAGTTGTAAGGTGTGTATGCTTATCTGATCCGTCAGACACTACTTCCTGTTTTCTGATACTTTGAATAAGAAGTGGTGGTTTGCTTAGCATGATAAAGTGTGCATTTAAAAAAAAATTAATTAAATGTTCATTGTAAAAAATCATGGAAGAAAAGAAAATGAATTAATTACAATCTTTTATATTCAATTAGACTGTGTTTCTCTTACTTTCTGATATTTTCTCACCCTTTGAGTGAAACAAGTACAGTTGAAACTGGCTTTACTCTTTGTAGGACCTATTTAAACTGGTTTGGACTGGTTTGTTCCTCATGTTATCATTGTTCATTTTTCATGATAAGTTTTCCTGATTAGGTCTGTTTCTCATATCTGTTTCTCAGGAACTATAAGAAGTAGGTCAACTTTATTTGGTGTATGAAATGATTGTTAGGCGAACATGTCTGTCAGGCAGGTTCATCTAAACCTGACTTCATTTTCATGGTTCATTGGACCGTCAATGTTAAGTTTTCATGATAAGGTTTGTTTCTTACAAACTATAAGCAAAAGGTCAAGTAATTTGGTGTGTCGAATGATTCAAGGTGTACAAGTAGCTCAGGCTGTTTTGACCTTAACCTAATTTTCATGGTTTTACAAATGTAAATGGTCAACTTTATATTTTTATTGATTACACCTGTTTCTTAGATATTGTAAGCTGTAGATCAACTATATTTGGTGTATGGAATTATTGTAAGGTATCCATGTCTGCTTGGCAAGGTTGATCTGACCTTGACCATAATTTTATTCACAATTTTTTAGAAAAGTGATAATTCAGAAAACTGCATATTGTATAGGCTAAGTTATCTGTTGACCTCTGCTAAGTTATCTGTTGAACTCTCATTCAGCCTCTGCTAAGTTATCTGTTGACCTCTCATTCAGCCTCTGCTAAGTTATCTGTTGACCTCTCATTCAGCCTCTGCTAAGTTACCTATTGACCTCTCATTCAGCCTCTGCTAAGTTACCTGTTGACCTCAGCTAAGTTATTTGTTCACTCTGCTAAGATTTGTGTTGGCCTCTTCTAAGTTACCTTTTCACATCTGCTAATTTATCTGTTGACCTCTGCTAAGTTATCTTTTCATCTCTGCTAAGTTATCTGCTGACCTCTGCTAAGTTATCTGTTTATCTCTGCTTAGTTATTTGTTCATATACAAATGAGGAGATGTAGTATGATTGCCAATGAGACAACTATCCTTCAGAGTTAAAATGAAGTGGTAGAAAGCAAATCACCTGCTAATTGATCTGTTGACATCTGCTAATTTATCTGTTGACCTCTGCTAAGTTATCTTTTCATCTCTGCTAAGTTATCTGCTGACCTCTGCTAAGTTATCTGTTCATCTCTGCTTTGTTATTTGTTCATATACAAATGAGGAGATGTAGTATGATTGCCAATGAGACAACTATCATTAAGAGTTAAAATGAAGTGGTAGAAAGCAAATCACCGTGCTAATTGATCTGTTGACATCTGTTAAGTTATCTGTTGACCTCTGCTAAGTGATCTGTTCACCCTGCTATGTTATCTTTTGACCTCTGCTAAATTATCTGTTGTCCTCTGCTAAGTTATGTTTTCGCCTTTGCTCGGTAATACCCTTTTATCATCAAATATGACATCAATTGAACAAGAATGGCTTATTTTCAACAGTTCACAAATGGCTTGTAAAAATGAAGTGATTGATAGCTGCTTAATGTCCAGATGCAAAAATATAATAATCACTTATTCAAATGACATTTTACTAAAATTTCCCTCAAGCAGTACGTTGAAACCCTCGACATGTCCCAATATCTTTGATGCAAAGAGTTATTACAAATAAATTCGTCCTGAACAGGCATGAAATATCTGCCACTGTACGTTAAGCAACCATCAATCAATATTACACAATTTACCCCGAGTTTTTTCACAGTCTTGCCTCTCAAAGACTCGTGAGTGTTATACCCATGCAAATAAAAAGATGTGATTTAACTGCCAATAAGACAACTATCCACCAGAAACCAAAGGACGAGAAAGTAAACAACGAATACCTAAACAACTATAGGTCACTGTACGGCCTTCAGCAATGAACAAAAAGATAAAGTAAGCTATAAAAATTCTGGCGTGACCAAATATGAAACAACTCAAAAGAGAAACCCAACAGCCTAATTACGTATACACTAAACAAATTTAACAGATAGTAATTAACTACAACCACGGTAGTACAGGCTTTTATTTTAGGACAAACACACAGAGGATGTGACGATGATGAGCTCAACCCTCCCTAACCTGTGACAATGGCGTATAAAGAACAACATAAGAAGAACTAAAAACCATAAGGAAAACGCTTGACTCATCTGATCGGCACGAAGAACAAAAAAGACAAATAAAGAAAACCTATTACTGATCTAAGAGTACTCGCAGTTACTGAAAGCAAGTTAAATCCATTTCAACAAATAAATAAATCATGTTTTCCAGACTAAAATATCAATCAGTACATTTCCGACAGAATTAGAGTAAAGACGTCATAAAACAGTCTGAGAAAGCATGACCTTGATCAATGCCAAAAAGAGTATCGGCAGGGTGTAGAACCTGTGCAAACGTGTTCATAACTGTATACTAAATGTCTATAGCAATATATATTAAGTTATCTTAGTCTATCAAAAGCAAAATCAATGTTACGATTAGTACCGATTATTATTCAAATATCTTCTTACAGTGTTAAATTGATCACCTTTAACAATAAGTTTATTCAAAGTATCAATATAAATACCAATCTGCAAAGCGCATTCGAGAAACTAAAACAATTTCTTAGAGGTTATTGTTAAGTTTATAAGTCTCTGGTTTCCTGACCAAAATGCACATAACAAGTTCAACAGTTTGCCTATCAAAGTGAAACACAAGACCAAATAGAATATGTGTCGTCTGCACCAGGGACTTTCTATACTATTTCTATGTTAGTATAGAAAGTCCCTGTCTGCACGAAACATCATCCCTCTTATTATTGGCCTTTAACATCCTGCATGACTATATGACTACGATAACTAAATCGGGATAGCAAAGGGGCCGAGCCCTTGTTATTGCCAACATTTGTTGTTTTTTTTTCAAGTACAGTTTTTCTCATTTTTGACTTTCCCCTTTTTAGGCTAAATTTCAATTGACCTACCCATTTCCATTGAAAACCCTGGACCCGTCATGCACTGTAAGTTTGTCATCTTTAAAATATCTTTGTAGCAAACCTCTAATAGAAAAAATGAAAACAACACGCTATACATTTCATGCGTCCGAAGCTCTCTTCTGGATTTACCTTCATCAGGAACGCTCAAAGCCGAATATTTGAAAGCCAAGAATGTATAAGAATTGACAGTTGCAGAGCTATATAACCAACCAAAACGCAATTGAATATAGAGCTTTACTGGTGAACCAGAGTTAAACAATTTGAATGTGATGTATACTACACAGATAATGTCTCATCGGTATGGCTTCCGAAGTAATCAAACAATTTTACTTGTTTTCCTTAATTCAAATTACAGTTACTTTTCCGAGTATTGATCTCAATGTACCCATTAACCTGAAACATTGGCTGTCTAGAACGTGCCTTTTATCAACTAGCACGTTATTTGAAAAAAAATGTGAGAGCAAGCATAACTATAAGAACAAATTTGACAAAAAAAGCAACAACAAAAAAAAACAAAACACACAGACAAAAAGGCTGGATGGCGTCAGTGGAACTAAATCTTCACAGGACCAGCCCTTGTCGAGGGCACGCTGTCCCGAAGAAGTAAATAGCGTTTGAAGTTTCCACATAACTACGCCAGTCAATTGCAAATTGATGTATACATTAAAGTGATCGATGTGATCATTAAAGCGTTTAAGTGTTTGAGTAGACCACAATTATTCAGTTTCATAAAAACAGGAACTCAGAATAGTTATAAATCATTAGATTATTTTGATTTCAGCTTGTTTTATTTAATTAAGCCGGTTTTTCCGTATACCAAGACAATCTTATTATTTAGGTAGTTTTGTGTGCAGCCCCTCTGTTCTCGTTTTGGAAGATAGAAAATGGGTGCATACTTAAACAATTACTGTGTCGAGATCATTTTTGTCGAGCCTGCGACTTTTGTCGCAGAAAGCTCGACATAGGGATAATGATCCGGCGGCGGCGGCGGCGTTAGCTAACTTCTTAAAAGCTTTATATTTTAGAAGCTAGAAGACCTGGATGCTTCATACTTTGTATATAGATGCCTTTATGTTACGAAATTTCCGTCTGTCATATGTCCATTGTCCTTGACCTCATTTTCATAGTTCAGTGACTACTTGAAAAAAAAGTCAACACTTTTTGTAATGCTAATTTCTTTCTTGTTATGAGCAATAGGATAACTATATTTAGTATGTGCGTACCTTGCAAGGTCCTCATGCCCGTCAGACAATTTTCAACTGACCTCGACCTCATTTCATGGATCAGTGAACAAGGTTAAGTTTTTGTGGTCAAGTCCATATATCAGATACTATAAGCAGTAGGTCTACTATATTTGGTATATGGAATGATTTTAAGGTGTACATGTCCAACTGGCAGGTGTCATCTGACCTTGACCTCATTTTCATGGTTCAGTGGTCAAAGTTAAGTTTTTAAGTTTTGGTCTTTTTTTCTAATACTATAGGCAATAGGTCAACTATATTTGGTGTATGGAAATATTTTATGATGTACATGTCAGTCTCGCAGGTTTTATTTGACCTTGACCTCATTTTCACGGTTCATTTCTCAGTGTTAAGTTTTTGTGTTTTGGTCTGTTTTTCTTCAACTATAAGCAATAGATCAACTATATTTGTTGTATGGAAGGATTGTAAGGTGTATATGTCTGTCTGGCAGGTATCATCTGACCTTGATCTCATTTTCATTGTTCATTGGTCAATGTTAAGTTTTCATGGTTAAGTTTGTTTCATAGAAACTATAAGCAATAGGTCAACTATATTTAATGCATACATTGATTGTAAGGTGTACATGTCTGTCTGGCACGGTTCATCTGACCTCGACCTCATTTTCATGATTCATTGGTCAATGTTAAGTTTTCTTGGTTAAGACTGTTTCTTAGAAACTGTAAGCAATAGGTCAACTATGTTTGGTTTATTGAATGATTGTAAGGTGTACATATATTTCTCGTTTGGTTCATCTGACCTTGACCTCATTTTCTTGGATCATGTTAAGTTTATGTGTTACTTGTAGTAAAGCTTTATATTTAGGACTATCAACATAAAATCAATGGTTAGTAAAGAAGGCGAGACATTTCAGCGTGTGCACTCTTGTTTTTTAATTCGAACTTGTTTCAGTAAACTTATTATTTTTTTTAATTCAATGGAATGTATCGGTTGTAATACAATCTATACAGCAACAAACAACTTACTTACAATAATATGCAATAGCAAAACCCTGTGTCTCGCTGCAACTGCTGTGCTGTCAGTGTAAAAGGAAAAAAAATGTAATTCGAGACATTGTGTGTAAATTGCATTAACTGCAAAGAAAAATAAAGTCAACTTATCAGAAAAATATGGAAAAATGAAAAATATATTTTCAAAATTCGGATACAAAGTTATTGATGTCTAGAAAAACTTAAACCCCAGATTGTATCTAAATGTTAACTGCAAACAGTAAAAAAAAAAGGTTCTTTTATCAGCAAAATACGAAAGAATGAAAAAAAATATTTTGAAAATGTTTCTGTATATACTGTCTTTTGATCATAAAAAGCTTCTGTCCAAGTTTCATAAAATTGTATGAAGGTTTGACAAAGTTAGTGATGTCTGAAAAACTTTCACCACACACTGTTATAGAAGCCTTGTTAGCCCCAAATTATACTCAAAACGATCATCATACACATCATTTACTCTAAAATGTCATTCCGAATTTAGGTGAAGCACCCAGGAACCTGGGCATTAATAAATGAATGACAACAGGACCATGTGCAGAAACAATTTAATAGTAAAAGGGTGGGGGGGGGGGGGGGGGGAGAAAGACAGAAAAGGAATTTGATTATTGTTTGATTTACTTCCAGTGGCAAATATTTCATGCATGTTCAGGACGATATATTTATATTCAGAACCTATTAACAATTAATACAATAGGTGGGTCCTATGAAGGAGTCGACCGGGATGATGAATTGCGGTAAATTGAGAAGTTTTAGACGGTATATTGGATAGGAACAGAATGTAAGCCTTGCAACAGCCCACCTACAGTTTTAGTAAATTATCGCCTGTCGTAAGACGACCAAGGTGGCCATATTTCGAGATATCCACAGTGACCCTTGGGGTAATTTAAAATGCAGTAATCTTGCGTTGCTGAAATAATCTGAACATTTCAATCCTTGTTTCGTGTATTGGTACGCTGTTATAGCCTTTGTTTTTATAACGTTATCGTGATATCCTAGATCTCTACAGGTACTCCAAAATAAGAGGAACGATTTTCATGAGTCATCGACCATTCAGAAGAGGGGTATGCGTTTTAATGTTGAATTAATTTTTTACCTTATTTTAAGTGGAAAAAAACTTCTTTTCACTTCCCTTTTGGAACATAATTTGTTTTTTTCATGAAATTTTGAATCACACAAATTATTTTCAGAAAAACGCCACTAATTGCTACAGAAGTTGACACAGATTTTTTCAGATAATGTACGTTTAAATTACTTCTAGTTTAATTTACTCCTGTGAACAATTCTCATGTATAAGTAAGTAAAATCAGTGTAGATATGAGAGCAATTAATGTAGACACAGTGTTCATATTATAAACAGGTTTACAGTATACTCGACGTTTGGCGTGAACACTGAGTGTGACCAATGTCAAAGATTCATTTCTGGATTGATATATACACGGTAAACATATTTTTTAATATTTTTAGAGACATATATATAATCTCTGGTATTTTGATGTTCGATAGTTTTGAAGAAAATATTAACCCTTTTATAACGTTATATAAGTTTTTAAGGTCTTTAAGGTCAATGTTATAAAAAATTCTGCTTTGATGTCAAAGTTGAAGGCTATACCTCATTTACGGTGGCATGCCAAATATTTTCGTATTGTGTCTTTTAATGGTTTCACTGGCTACCTTATCCCATATAATTGGTGTATTTGTCAAGAGCTCAAAGTCTGGTCCAGATCTTTTCCTTTTTCAATCGCCTCGGTGGTCAGCCGGTGCCTTATAGTACAGGAGGACGTGAGTTCGATCATTCCCCGGTCGGGTCAAACAAAATTAAGATTTTAAATTAGTATATTGCTTTTTCGCTGAGGAGTTAGAACAAAGCCTTGGTCGGCTCGGACTCGGAAAATATGCCCTGGTTCAAGAGGACAGTTACTGTGTACAGTTACTGTGTAATCAGCACGCATTTAATCAGGTTTAGCTTAAACTGTCGGTTTATCCAAAGAAGGGTATCTTCATAAAATAGTTAATGATTATGGTATAATTTTTCGGTCAAAAATAGAAACAATAAGAAATAAAAGTATGTTCTTAGCTTCAAGGTTAATTTCTGTATACGGAAGTTACAAGTCACTTGCAAAAAGAAGGAAAACACTTATCATGTCAGCTGAACGAATTATGGATTATGACTGTAGTGTTCCTAGATATTTTTAGACACAGAAGAAGGAAACATACATCCAATTAACAGGAAATTTTAAAATACATGTATGAAGCAATACCCGGGATACAATTTGAATTAGTTTCAAATTTTTTGTATAGAAATAAACCCAAACAGCTGTGACCCAGAAAAAGATCTGTCAAGAATTGATACTATATTTCCGTTAAAACAGGTCGGAGTGGCTTAAGCTTCAATGATTATAATCTATAATGCATATTTTTGTAAAAGATAAATAATAAAATGGTACATGTTGAGTCTTGTTTTTGTTTTATTTTGTACTCCTGAAACTTTCTTGTAATCAATATGTATTTTATTCCTATGTCAAAGTCCCAAAAGGGTAGTATAAGTTAAGTTCACACAGCGCATTTGCCTGCGCTTTTCAATCGGTTAGAATTACGATTACTTGTAAAAACAATTCAGTTATTACATTCTATTTTTTAATTCTTAAAGAATTAACTTATTGTAGTAACATGTACAGAAAAAAAGTTTGATGTTTTATGAATATGCAATAGCAAATCCTAATCGCTGTAGAAAGAGCTCATTCTCATTCATTCTTGCATTATTGATAGATCTTTGTTTGCTTTACGTCCAGTTGCAAATGATTCATGAATGTTCACTACAAGTTCATTCTGACAGTTCATATCAACTGTTTTAACTGAGTTTATAAAGTATTCATTCAGAAGAAATTATAATCAAGTCTACAGTTTTACTATCGATATTGTAACAACCATGATTTTTATCTCACTCCTGATTGCCAAGTTCTCCATCTTCGGAAACATTCAGAATAGTACAAGTCTAGTATGTTTGCCAGATTCACATCTTCGAACACAGTCTGAATAGTATCCATAAAAAATAAAAAGATGTGACATGATTGCCAATGAGACAACTTTCCACCAGAGACCAAATGACGTTCGGCCTTTAACAATGAGAAAAACTAATACCTCATTCGGATTTTTTCCAAAGATGGTAACTTTGTCGAAGAGGGATATTGTTCAGAATGTTTCCGAAGATGGCGAACTTGACGAACATTCGCTCTTTCCAAAATATTTCCAAATATGGCAAACTTTGCGAATAGGGTTCATATTCAGAATATTTCCGAAGATTGCGAACTTGAAGAACAGGGACACTGAACAGAATCGTTCTGAGGATGACAAATAGTGACTTGCACTGTTAATAATCTATCTTAAGATGGCAAACATGACGAACAGGTTGGTGGGTTGGCTAACATTTTCCAAATCCTGTACTAGCCTGATATATCAGACCTTAATAATCCTGAGTCAATTACAATAAAGTTGTGCAATCAAAGATCTGCCATTAAAACTCATTTCTCTAACTATTTTACTTAGTAGATGAACTTATTTTCCCCGTCTTGTTATCGTAAACTTTAGTAAGAGATATACACACGGTAAACATATTTTCTCATGTTTCAATGTATTTTGATGCCTTTTAGATAGTTTTGAAAATATTTGATTTTGATATTTTGATCTGCTGGTCTTTAGGGTCAATTTTATGAATTTTGAATATCCAAACGGGATATAAATTAACTTTGCATTTTTTTTTTATCTTGGACTTATGTCCAAATATTAGAAAGTGCAAATAGTTAAAACTTTTGGTTAACATATTTTCTGGATTCCTGTTTCTATGAGATTGGTCCTTTGTATTGGAAGATGGAGGTCTTTAAAGGGTTCAAACTATAGCTCTGGGAAAGTCACGTACTAAAATTACTTTTATCGAACTAATTACATGAACTTTGAATATTTTCGCTAAAATCCGTCATTTTTTTGCACTGTAAATCAATATCCCATTTTGGCTATAAAATCCAAACGGGTAACTAGGCCTATAACCCATTTTGGTGACTGGTCCCAAACTGTTTATTATTATTTATTTATAAGACAGCTGCTGAATGGATGCACGGTAGACAACTCTATTGTCAAATGCCACGTATGTATATCACTATATATATGTAGGCTTAGATCAATATGATTTAAAAGTTCAATATTACTTCACCATGTGAGAAAACAACATATGTTTTTGGAGCAGATTGTATATTGAATATTTTTGGAGATTTATTAATTTTATGGACATATTTATCATATTACATCCATTGGACAATTAGACGTAAGTGCATCGGAAATGTTAATTCGATGTTAAAGCTACTCTTCCATTACTCACTTTAATATATATATGATTACATGAGCTGATTTAGAAGGGGTGGTCAAAAAGGGTGAGATACTGGATTTAGATTTAATTTTCTTAATAACTTGAAAACCGCTATAAATAGAGAAAATCTGACGGATGCAGAAATGTTCAAAATGATGAGATCTACCTATTGTTTATCAATACCAAAACAATCAGAAGACTCTTATAGGAGTTATTGCCCTTAAATGGCCAATTTTACATTTTTTTTCTTCATTTTTGCCTATTATCTTGAAAATTATAACAGATAGAAAGAAACTTTAAGTAGCAAATATGATCAGCAAGACACGATCTACTATTGAGTCAAATGGCTGAAATCGTCAATTGACTACTTATTGGATATATTGCCCTTTAATGACGATTTTTATCCTTTTTTTTTGGTGTTTTTTTTTTAGCATAAAACTGAAAAAACTATAATAGATAGATAGAAACTTAAATAAGCAAAAATGATTAGCAAGACATGATCTACTGATTAGTTCGCAGGTCGAAATTAAAGGAGTTATTGCCCTTTAATGAATTTTTTTGTCATTTTTTTGCGTTTTTGCCTAATATCTGAAAAACTATTATAGATAGATAAATACTTAATACAAGCAAAAAAAGATCAGCAAGACAAGATCTACAAATAAGTCAACATGGTTGAAATTATCTGACCACACCCCCCCCCCCCCTTTCCCCCTTATTCGAGTTATTACCCTTTAATGACGATTTTTGTCGAGCCTGCAACTTCTGTCGCAGAAAGCTCGACATAGGGATAGTGATCCGGCGGCGGCGTTAACAAACTTCTTAAAAGCTTTATATTTTAGAAGGTGGAAGACCTGGATGCTTTATACTTTGTATATAGATGCCTTATGTTACGAAGTTTCCGTCTGTCACATGTCCATTGTCCTTGACCTCATTTTCATGGTTCAGTGACTACTTGAAAAAAAGTTAAGATTTTTTGTAATGTTAATTTCTCTCTTATTATGAGTAATAGGATAACTATATTTGGTATGTGCGTACCTTGCAAGGTCCTCATGCCCGTCAGACAGTTTTCACTTGACCTCGACCTCATTTCATGGATCAGTGAACAAGGTTAAGTTTTGGTGGTCAAGTCCATATCTCGGATACTATAAGCAATAGGTCTAGTATATTTGGTGTATGGAAGGATTGTAAGGTGTACATGTCCAACTGGCAGGTGTCATCTGACCTTGACCTCATTTTCATGGTTCAGTGGTCAAAGTTTTTGAGTTTTGGTCTTTTTTTCTAATACTATATGCAATAGGTCAACTATATTTGGTGTATGGAAATATTTTATGATGTACATGTCAGTCTCGCAGGTTTTATTTGACCTTGACCTCATTTTCACGGTTCATTGCTCAGTGTTAAGTTTTTGTGTTTTGGTCTGTTTTTCTTAAACTATAAGTAATAGGTCAACTATATTTGTTGTATGGAAGGATTGTAAGCTGTACATGTCTGCCTGGCATGGTTCATCTGACCTTGAACTCATTTTCATGGTTCATTGGTCAATGTTTAGTTTTCTTGGTTAAGTCTGTTTCTTAGAAACTATAAGCAATAGGTCAACTATATTTAGTGTATTGAATGATTGTAAGGTGTACATGTATTTCTCGTTTGGTTTATATGACCTTGACCTCATTTTCTTGGATCGTGTTAAGTTTATGTGATAGTTGTAATAAAGCTTTTTATTTAGGTCTATCAGCGTGTGCACTCTTGTTACCAATTTATTTTGCGTTTTTGCCGAATATATGTATCTGAAAAACTACAATGGATAGATAGAAACTTAAATAAGCCAAAATGATCAGCATGATAAGATCTACAAATAAGTCTACTGGCCGAAATCGTCATTCAAGTTCACTCCTTATTAGAGTTAATGCTCTTTAATGAAGATTTTTATCATATTTACCGTTTGTGCTTCAGTAATATTTGAAAAACTATAATAGATAGATAGAAACTTAAATAAGCAAAAAGGATCAGCAAGACATGATCTACAAAGAAGTCACATGGTTGAAATCGTCAGACAACTCCTTATTGGAGTTATTGCCCTTTAATAACGATTTTTTTTTGCGTTTTTGATTAATTTCTGAAAAACTTTAATAGATAGATAGAAACTTAAATTAGCAAAAATGATCAGCAAGACAAGATCTACAAAAAAGTGTACCGTTCAAAATTGTCAGTCCACTCCTTATTGGAGTTATTGCTCTTTAATGATGATTTTTACCAATGTTTAGTGTTCAGCCTCTAATCGTGAACTATTATGGATAGTTAGCTACTTTAAATAGCAAAAATGTCAACAAGACAAGATCTACAAATAAGTCAAATTTTGCCAAAATCGTTAGTTGACTCTCTATAGGAGTGATCCCTTAAATGACAATTACCCTTTTTTGTGTTTTGGGCAAAAAGTAAAGAAGATAGAGAGAAACTGTAAACAGAAAAAATGATCAGCAATACATAATAAAAAAAGGGATTTTTGTCATGAATTCTATTCTAGTCCACAATGTTGGAAAGTGTCCATTGTTGAAGATGCACATATACCTAGGTGAGCGACACAGGCTCTTTAGAGCCTCTAGTTTAATGTGTTCTTGTTCTTATCCATACGACATAACAATAGCGGTATTTTATGTATGCTATCCCGTCTATTTTTATTGTCCAAGAGACTGACATAGAGATAGCACATATAAAACAACTGTTATTGTAATAGTGTATAGATAAGAGACTGACAGAGGGATGGCACATATAAAACAACTGTTATTGTTATGGTGTATAGATAAGAGACTGACAGAGAGATAGCACATATAAACAACTGTTATTGTAATGGTGTATAGATAAGAGACTGACAGAGAGATAGCACATATAAAACAACTGTTATTGTAATAGTGTATAGATAAGAGACTGACATAGAGATAGCACATATAAAACAACTGTTATTGTAATAGTGTATAGATAAGAGACTGACATAGAGATAGCACATATAAAACAACTGTTATTGTAATAGTGTATATATAAGAGACTGACAGAGAGATAGCACATATAAAACAACTGTTATTGTTATAGTGTATAGATAAGAGACTGACAGAGAGATAGCACATATAAAACAACTGTTATTGTAATAGTGTATAGATAAGACACTGACAGAGAGATAGTAAATATAAAACAACTGTTATTGTAATAGTGTATAGATAAGAGACTGACAGAGAGATAGCAGATATAAAACAACTGTTATTGTCGAGCCTTCGACTTTAGTCGAAAAAGCGAGACATAGCGATCCTATATTCCGTCGGCGTCGGCGTCGTCGTCGTCGTCGTTGTCGTCGGCGGCGTCCACAAATATTCACTCTGTGGTTAAAGTTTTTGAAATTTTAATAACTTTCTTAAAACTATCCTGGATTTCTACCAAACTTGGACAGAAGCTTGTTTATGATCATAAGATAGTATCCAGAAGTAAATTTTGTAAAAATAAAATTCCATTTTTTCCGTATTTTACTTATAAATGGACTTAGTTTTTCTGCCGGGAAATATTACATTCACTCTGTGATTAAAAGTTTTTAAAATTTTAATAACTTTCTTAAACTATCCTGGGTTTCTACCAAACTTGGACAGAAGCTTGTTTATGATCATAAGATAGTATCTAGAAGGAAATTTTGTAAAATAATAAATCCATTTTTTGCGTATTTTACTTTTAAATGGACTTAGATTTTCTGCCAGGAAACAACACATTCACTCTGTGGTTAAAGTTTTTAAAATTTTAATAACTTTCTTATACTATTTTGGATTTGTACCAAACTTGGACAGAAGCTTGTTTATGATCAAAAGCTAGTATCTACAAGGAAATTTTGTAAAATAATGAATCCATTTTTCCGTATTTTACTTTTAAATGGACTTACATTTTCTGTCAGGAAACAACACATTCACTCTGTGGTTAAAGTTTTTAAAATTTTAATAACTTTCTTAAACTATCCTGGGTTTCTACCAAACTTGGACAGAAGCTTGTTTATGATCATAAGATAGTATCTAGAAGGAAATTTTGTAAAATAATAAATCCATTTTTCCGTATTTTACTTTTAAATGGACTTACATTTTCTGTCAGGAAACAACACATTCACTCTGTGGTTAAAGTTTTTAAAATTTTAATAACTTTCTTATACTATTTTGGATTTGTACCAAACTTTAACAGAAGCTTGTTTATGATCAAATGCTAGTATCTAGAAGGAAATTTTGTTTTCTTCCAGTTAACATTACATTCAGTCTGCAGTTAAAGTTTTTAAACATTTATTAGATTCATAAACTATCCTGGATTTTTACCAAACTTGGACAGAAGCTTCTTACAATCAAAAGATAGTATCAAGAGGAATATTTTTATTGATTTACTTCCTCATTTTTGTTGAGCCTGCGATTAACAGAAAAAGTAGGCGAGACACTGGGTTCCGCGGAACCCTTACGAATTTTTGAAATAGTGTATAGATAGGAGACTGACAGAGAGATAGTAAATATAAAACAACTGTTATTGTAATGGTGTATAGATAAGAGACTGACAGAGAGATAGTAAATATAAAACAACTGTTATTGTAATAGTGTATGGATAAGAGACTGACAGAGAGATAGCACATATAAAACAACTGTTATTGTAATAGTGTATAGATAAGAGACTGACAGAGAGATAGTAAATATAAAACAACTGTTATTGTAATAGTGTATAGATAAGAGACTGACAGAGAGATAGCACATATAAAACAACTGTTATTGTAATGGTGTATAGATAAGAGACTGACAGAGAGATAGCACATATAAAACAACTGTTATTGTAATAGTGTATAGATAAGAGACTGACAGAGAGATAGCACATATAAAACAACTGTTATTGTAATAGTGTATAGATAAGAGACTGATAGAGAGATAGCACATATAAAACAACTGTTATTGTAATAGTGT